GCTAACCAGCCCACTCCCACAATGACACTAATCCATTTAAGAGGGCAGAGCCATGTGTCATAAACTAATCACCTCTTTTTTTGTTGCTATTTGTAATTTGTTATTTTGCTATAGGGCGCATATGCTCTCTGGAGAGACAGATAAATTAAAGGAGGAGTCAGAAAGTACTACCCAGGGGGATGGTTATGTGGCAATCCTTTCTCCTCTGGGATGTTGGGTACCCATGCACATGTACTGTTGGGTATTTTTCTTTTTTCCCTCTCCCCCTTTTAAAATAATTAAAATGATCACTTTACATCTTTATAGTGTACAATATGGTCTTTCCCAATTAATCAAGTCAAAGACATTACCATATGCATTTTTGGGTAAGTGGTGGGCATTTTTCAAGCTGTCAGGTCTGGGACCCAAACTGAAGTCACTCATGTGGGATTTTAGGGTCACAGAATTTTGCTGCTGGATAGAAATTTACTGAGCATCTAATTCAGCCCTCTCTTTTGCAGAAATGGAAATTTAGAACCAGAAAAATTTAAATAACTTGGTCACCTAGTTGGTTGTTTTAGTCTATTTTGTGGTGTTGTAACTGTATCCCACAGATTAAGTAATTTATAAAGAAAGGAAATTTATTTGGCTTGGAGTTTTGGAGGCTGGAAAGTCTAAGGGCCTTTGGCCAGCATCTGCTTGGCATCTGGTGAAGGCCCTCTTGCTAAGTCATCCCCCACTGAAGATTAGAGGGTGAGAGAGTGCATGAGTGGGAAGCGAGGGTGCTGAACTTCATTGTTTTATCAGGAACTCACTCCCATGCTAACCAGCCCACTCCCACAATGACACTAATCCATTTAAGAGGGCAGAGCCATGTGTCATAAACTAATCACCTCTTTTTTTGTTGCTATTTGTAATTTGTTATTTTGCTATAGGGCGCATATGCTCTCTGGAGAGACAGATAAATTAAAGGAGGAGTCAGAAAGTACTACCCAGGGGGATGGTTATGTGGCAATCCTTTCTCCTCTGGGATGTTGGGTACCCATGCACATGTACTGTTGGGTATTTTTCTTTTTTCCCTCTCCCCCTTTTAAAATAATTAAAATGATCACTTTACATCTTTATAGTGTACAATATGGTCTTTCCCAATTAATCAAGTCAAAGACATTACCATATGCATTTTTGGGTAAGTGGTGGGCATTTTTCAAGCTGTCAGGTCTGGGACCCAAACTGAAGTCACTCATGTGGGATCCAGCTGCCTTAACCATCACACTACCAGCTAGACATTACGCTAACTGCCGGTTCCCAGGATTCTTTCTTGATGAGACAATCCTCCAGCTCCCCAACAACTATGCATGAGGGCCTGTACCACCACATCCCTCAGGTTTTGTTCTTATATAAATTATTTTCATTGTTGTGTATTATGTTTATTGTTTAAACCAATACTATTTAAACACACATAAATATGTATGCATAAACATGCATGTAATTTAGTTATTTCAACTCAATCATCTCAGCTTTCTCTAACTAGAGACATTATCAACATACAGTGTATTACACAATATTGCTCTGTAGTATGCCAGAAATATAGTTATTCATATGTTCTCCCCAGAAAAATCAAGCTTCATTGTGTGTTTCTTTAGATGTTAAATTAGGAAGAGGCTTATGGATCAGAAAAAAAAAAAAAAAAAAAAACCTTAACCAAGAAAATTTCTGACACTTTGATGAGGGTTGAGGTCACAGAATCAGGCACCAGAAGTCTTATCAGTAATAGAAGCACATTTTCCCCCTAAATTTCCTATTCTGGGGTCAGCAGATGGTGTAGTGATTATATCGCTGGACTCCCACATGGCCAACTGCAGTTCAAGTCCCAGAACAGGTGGCTTGAAAATCACACCGGTTGCATGTGTGTGCCCAAGATTCCAGGAGGAGAATGGAAGAGAAGCGACTGTGGTGTGGCCATCCTCTCTGAGGGGTGATTTCTCTCTCTCTCTCTCTGGTGAGCGCACATGCCCTAGGGGCAAAAAGCTCTTTAAAAAATTGTTCCAATAGACATTATATACAGAAAAAAACTAGAAATGCAACTTGCATTGTGATAGTGTGCTATATAGGTATATTACTAATTGAATATTCTGTAATACAATACCAAACATGTTTTTCTCAACTTTGGCACTAGTGACATTTTGCGATGCTTTATCCTTTGTGGTGAAGCCTGTTCTGTGCATTCATTGAAGGACGTTTAGCAGCCTCTGCTCACTAGGTGCCAGCACTGTGCCCCGGGAGAAATAAAAAATGTCTCCAGACATTGCCAGATGTCCCCTGGGGGACAGAATCGGTCCAGGTTAACAATCACTGCATAAAGCAAGGCAGTGTTTATTTTTTTAGATTTAAAAAATTAAAACTACTTAAAATATTCTAATCAGGAATTCAATTTCTTTTCAAATAGAAGAAATAGATGAGATAAAGACTTCATTTGAAGTGGTTAATATTCTTTCTGAGATATAGCTAAAGTGGGTTCCTGAAGTTGTTCTCAGTGCTTGTACATCCTCGCTCCTTTTTATTCTCTAAGGTATCATTTGATAGGTTATTACTTTGCAATCAAGGTTTTTAAAACTCTGAGTTCAGCTATTCTTTATCGGTGATGGGTTTATAAAAATTCTTTTATTTTTCTGATACTACAAATCCCTTCTGTGAGACCCCCTAATAACAAAAGCAACCTGTCAAATTTTAGGGCAGGTACTTTCATCCCTATCCCACAGACGAGGAAATTAAGAGAAGCCAGGACTCTAGTGTATCAAATGTCCTTTTCATTTCATCCACACTAAGTCTCTCTCCCTCTGTGTGTATATGTGTGTGTGTGTGTGTGTGTGTGTGTGTGTGTGTGTGTGGTCTGTGTATAATTTCTTTTTCTTTTTTTAGAGATTTTTGCTGTAGGACCATTGCATTTGCCAGAGAGACAGAGACAGAAAGTGAAAAATCACCCCCAGGGTGAATGGCCATGCCTTAATCCCTTCTCTCCCATTCCCCTTTCTGGATTTGGGCACACACTTACATGAGCCTGGCATGAGTTTTAAGCTGCTGGGTCCACGCCTTGAACTGTGGTCAACCTCATGGGAATCCAGCAACATAACCATTACATCATCTGCTGGTCTCCACACTAAGTATATTTTTTAAAAATCTGAATTTTATAGCATGAGAGGGCCTTTGAAAAGGAGGAGAGGACCTATGGAAAGGAAGTATGAAGGAGGGAATGGAGAAGACAGGGAAGGAAGACAGAACACTGCGCTAAGAGAACTTCAGTAGAAGCACATAGGATAGAGAATGATCTGATGTCAGCATCTATGTAATTGTAGCATCCCCTGAGAGCCTGCACCTCCATATTCTTCCTCATCACAGCTTTATCTTTCACTCCCTCCTACTCTTCCCTTCCTGGACAGGAAAAAGGTGTTTTTGGCTATGATAGTAATAGGGTAGCAATGGTAACACTTCTGGAGGCATTTAGTAATATGTATCAAAAATCCTAGAAGCACAAATACTACTAGATAGATTCAGGTGTTAAATGGACTTGGAGTTGGATTTGATTAAAAAAAAACCTTATAGATATGTTCAAAGGTGTCTGTTCAAAGCAAGGCCCCTCATTCAGATGTTACAGAAATAAATGATCAAACTAAATGGTAATATAATGATGGATTACATAAATTATGGTTTATCTATACAATGAAACACCGAACAAATCATGTTATTTAAATATATATCAAGAAGTTTGTAGGAATACACACAAAAATACCATTTTTGAATGGATAGTAGGCTTTTAATTTCTTCTTTATATTGTTCTGAACATGCAGGTACTCCCTTTAAGAGAAAAGGTATTTGAAATAAATAAAATATTGAAAATAATAGAATATTGCCATGGTCCCTTGCACCTCATTGCATAGAAAAAACTTCCTGAATATCTTATGAGTGGATGCAGGGGCCTTTCTAATACCTAGGTGGAGAGTTATAGGATTTTTAATAGCTAGGTGGAGAGTTATATTGCCATTACTATCAATACACTATCATCCCAATACCTTTCATTTATTGAACGATGTAAAATGAGCTAAGCATTGTGTTATATTTATGTAAGCTATCTCCTTTATTCCTAAAAACCAAGCCCAGGTAGATATTATTTATTTTCATTTTGTGGATGAGAAAACTGAGGCCCTTGAGTGGCTAAGTACATATGAGGTCTAGCAAGGATTTGAGTCCATGTACTCTAATGGTAAAGCCTGCATACTCAATCCCTAGGCCATATTGCTTCTCTTATGCAGTTTAAAGATAACCTGATTGTCTCTCTTTTGTGGAACTCAAAAACATGAGTTGCTGAGACAAGCAGATGGTGGAATGGTTATGTCAAATTTCCACAGGGCCCACTGCAGTGTGAATCCCAGACTTGGTGGAAAAATCACAAAATCACACCAGGTATGTATATATGTGTGCTCAGAATCCCAAGAGGAAAATAGAGGAAATGGGACTACAGCATGATGGCTGTCCCCCCCGCGGGGTGGGGGTGCTTCCCCTCCCTCTCTGTCTCTCTCCAGTAAGCACACACACCCTATGGCAAAAACATTTTTTAAAAAAGAATATATAGATACTGAACTATGTACAAAGCCCATTATTGGAATATTGCACATGATTATCTGCATATTCTCATAGCTTTACAATTTTGAGAATATGCTGGTATTAATGAAAGGAGAAGGAGTAGGTAAAGAAGGAAGAGGAAGAAAAAGTCATAAATGAAGCCTAATGAAATATTTTTTGTCACCGGTAGTGAAAAGACACTGGGTAACACAGGTACTGATTCAAATAACAGAGAGTGGGCCACCTTAACAATTAACTGATGGAGACTCCCCAGAGAATTCTGCTAGGACTCAGTTCACATGTTTTCCTGTATTTATGTAATTGAGATTTAATCCTTATAAATAATCCCTGGGTGTTTCTTTCTTTTTTTAAATTTTTTTTTTAAGAAAGAAGTTCAGAATGCAAGTGTTTGACTTTGTGTTTAATATACACACAATTCTTTAGTGTCCATGAGATAACCTTATGCTCTAACAATAAAGCTATTTTGATACTAAGGGTTTTAATTTCTGCCAGTGTCTAATTAAATCATTCTTTCAGAAAAGTTTTTAAATACATGTTTCTTAGACAACAGATACTTTATGTAAAGTATAAAGAATTAATGTACATTCTCAAGGTCAGATTCAGAGAGAAAATATACTGTCTGAATCTAGTAACATATTATTCCTTGTTGCATATAGGTTGCATTTGTGAGTGTGTATGTGATGTGGATCCATGCAGTAAATGTTCACAAAAATCAAGCAAACAACTACATGTCCTTTAGCTACTAAATTATCCCTCCGCATTACAACAGGTTGATCAACAAAATAAAAGCACTGATGACTGTATCAAAACCATGCTGGCTATGGTATTCCTTGAAGAGCCAGCTAGAAGGGCCATGAGGGAAACACTGGTAACCACAAATTTTCCTTCTGCTTTTATGGGATTAACACTATTCCCTCCTCACATGGCTTTTGCCAAAGAGGCATTTCAGGCTTCACATTAAAACAATGAACCTTTAGTGGAAAAGCCAACCGTAGGTGTTTGATCCTGGAACACCTTGCTATAGAAGGTCTTTAAGGCAAATGCCAGGAGTCAAAGACATTGCAAAACAGTCTTAGGATGTAAACTATAAAATTGCTGATCAAGGCTTTATATCCTTAGATGAAAACTCTTCACAAGAAGGTCTATCTGGATAAGACCAGCTTCTTGGTTTTTGAAGTCAATGTGAATTTCATATCCTAGAAGCATTTACTCATTTTTGCTACTGTAGACTTCTGGAGTAGATAAAAGTTCATGATGTTGCTTTACAAAACAAAATACATAGCATGAAAAAGTTACACAAATACCAAGCAGTTTTCAGGTTTGTTTTTGTTTTCCTTTCACATTTTACTTTTGTGATTGGCATATGGAAAACCAAACTGGGAAACCATAATGTTGGAGTACTTTAAGGGCATGCCGTCATAGATACTAACAAGCTTATTTAGACAGTAAGACCTCTGAAGAAAGTGTTCAGCTCGATGCCACATTCCAGAATAGCCACCGTTAGTTTCCTTTTCCAGATTGCCCATGTTTACCGGTTTCACAAATATCCCTGAAGTCTTTCCAGTGTGCTTGGCAACGATAAAATTCATGACAATATCATCACAGTTTTGAGTTTCATCTATCAAAGCATGGACTACCGCAGGTTGTCTTTGAAAAAGGTCAAGATATTTGCTATTGAAGAATGAGGCTCCAATCAGCACCATGGAATACTGGTCACCATTTCCAAACCCTGCTGTCTGTAGTTCAAAACCGCCATAACTGTAGATACCTGATGTAGAAACATGCTTTCTAGGAACAAACCCGACAATTTGTTCTGGAAATTGCTGAAAAGAGAGGAACACAATAATTAAGTGTGGCTTTTTTTTTCTTTTTTTAAGAATGGATACAGTGAAGGAGGCAATGATGTATTGCAGAGAAAATGAAACTGATTTGCTATTTTTCTTTATGTCTGGTTTCTACTTTTCAATTTCATCTAACTCTGGGCAACTTCATAAATCTATGTCCTGGTAAGTTTACAGATCAAATTCCATCACAACCCAAAGTGCTCTGAAAACAAATTTTCTACTCTCACACATGCTCTCCTAATTCAAATATTATCTGATGTTAATAAATCCCAGTCATCAAAGAGTCTAGTCTTTCAATATTTGCTGCACAAAAAGTTGATTGCAGGCATGCTATTTATTCAGCGATAAGATACTTTTAGGAATGCTATTTATTCAGAGATAAGATACAATGCAATCATTTTGGAAACCTTTTCATACTCTTAGGAGTACATACAACTCTGGATCTACACATATAATTTTACTGTTTTTCCATGTTGACATCGATGTTCTTGAAAGTCATTGCTGATTTTAAACAACGTTTTATCCCTTTTCAGTTTGAGTCCTTCCCTTTAAAAAATAAGAGATAACACAAGTATATAAAATTATATTTGTGCGCGTGTGAGAGACATATGAAAGATGTATCAGGATCTTTGAAGGAGCACTAGATAGCAGCAAAGCAATAGTAATTAAGGAGAATGACGGAAAACCAGCAAGCAAAAGAAAGTCGTAAAGCATGAGAACGTGGTAAGAACCACAGCGCTGAAAGGTTTCATTAATCCCATAAATAATTCAGAGGGTTACATTCATTTATTGAACAGACACTGAACTAGGAACACACACACACACACACACACACACACACACACACACACACACACACACACACACACACACACACACACACACACACACACACACACACACACACACACACACACACACACACACACACACACACACACACACACACACACACACACACACACACACACACACACACACACACACACACACACACACACACACACACACACACACACACACACACACACACACACACACACACACACACACACACACACACACACACACGAGGGTAAATTAAATCCCATTTCAAAGAGCTTACAGTCTAGAGAGGGTATGATACCGACATGTGAACAAGGGATTAAGACTCTGTGAGAAAGTTGCAGATGCAGTTGGGCTAATCTGATGGGAAAAGTGAGGATAGAATGACAACTGTGCTGCTGGGAGGCAAAGGGGAAGGTCAGGGGCTGGGGGATAAAGGCTGGGAGGCTTCAGAGAAGATGTGCCATTTACACCATCTGGGAGAGTGAAAGGACTTTCACAGATGTAGAGAAGGAAACGGGAAAGCACCGAGGTGGAGTAACGGGCAAGTGCAAAGACACAGACGAACGTCTCCTCTGATCTTGCCTGTCTATAAGCCCCAGATCGCTGTACTTCGGAGGGCACGGCCTGCACTGAATTGAAGGGATCACAACTTCTTGGGCAATGGACTAAAGTTGTCAGCTTTATGAATAAAACCTAAAATCCTATTTATACATCTTTAATTGAGGTTTATTCAGACTGCTTTAATTAACCACAGTCCTCATATTCTGTCTCCCTCCCCATTTGGGGTAAATTAATTTTTTTTTGTATTTTTTTTAACCTTAAACAGAAATCTCCCAGCTAAAGTATTACACTAGAACTTTTTCTTCCTTTTTTGCCTAAGAAAGTTTTTATTTTCAGTCCTAGTAAAAACTGCTGATATGGAAAAAATTCAATTTGTGGATCAATACACCAGGCATGAAGTTAAAAACTCTAATTTTTTGAATGTGGATATCTGTAGAGTACTGTGACCACTTTCTATTAATATCTAATATTGTTATATCCCAAGTAGCTAATTAAGGAAAGTGACTATGGGGCAAATTAGACCATTTATTGGGCAGCATAGTGTTTCATTATTTGACAGGAATTCAGAGTATTCATATGCAGTCTGGTTTCAGGTAATGGTAGTATTACTTCTAATGGCCAACTATAAATAACACATATTCCATAAGAAGGGCTGCATTTATAAGATATTAAGTAACTGATGTCTATTTATCTGATCTAGGATTTAGGAAACAAAACAAAACAAAAATCTTGACACCACAATGGTGCATGTAGTATTATTACTGCAGAATTTTTAAACATATAGTCTCAGAACCAGATTAAATTTTGTGGAAAAATACTTTCTTTCCTTTACAGGAAGTTATATACAATATTATAATGTAACTCCCACACTAAACTATATAGCCCTGGTTAAGCATTAGACCAGACTTGATGCCAATGGTTTCATAAAGGATATAACAACATTACCTGCCAAACGGAGAAGGCAAAATCAAGGTCCTGGGCACTAATGAGAGTGTCATCGTCCACCATTAACACCGCTGACATGAAAGGAAAAAAAATTAAGTTGAACAGTTTGGAAACAAAAACAAAACTAGTGAGATACAATAATGTCTATGTTGATCATTCAAGTGAAGTAGTAGAAATGAAATGTATTCTTGGAAAGATGTGTCTAGTAGAGAAACTTTTTGCAAATTGTAATTGACTTCATAATGGCTGGATGGAAAATAATCATATAGTTATCATCTATCATCCTAAAAAGTAATGAACCCACAAATAAATGAAGCCACAATTCTTTTAAACATATTACAAACTCATGAAATAGCTACGAGTGGGAGGAAAAGCAGAGTGGCAAGAAATACATAAAGCATAAGACAAATGGCATTTTACTACCCCTGTCATGCAACAGTATGCAATTAGAGCATATCTATTTTTACAATATTAACTTCTTTGTCATTGTTTTAAGATGTATGTGATTTCCTCCCCAGGAAACTGCTTCTTGACATCTTGGAAACTGCCCTGTAAGCTTTTCAAAGTGCTCTCTTACGATTAACTTCCCCCATTTTCTCCAGACATTGTAACGTAGACTATGGATCAGAAATCTGCATACCTTCCCCCCAACACACACGCTCTGCTTAGCTGTAGCCCTTTCAGGCTGAGAACCAGCTGCAACTCACCATTGGTTTCCACTTCAGAAAAGACCTGAAGTCGGTTTCTCATCTTGTTTGCCGTTTGTACTTTGAAGATCACAGGGACAGGGTGAGGCCCTAGAGAATTCCATAACTCATCTGGTACCTTCTCCCCAATATTGTTCCATACCACAATCACTTTGTGCAGGTGTGGTACTGCTTGATAATGATTTAAAAGCCTCAATAAGAGATCTGTTCTGTTATACGTCTGCATTATGAGAGTAAAGGAGTCCAGGGTGGACTTGCCCTGGGATTTCATTTCCCTACGCAACATGAGCATCTTGTCTTCTTTGATATTGGGAAGCAAAGTGGTCAAAGCCCCAGCTACCAGTAATAACACAAGGATGACCACCAAAGAGAAACGAAGCACTCGGATCCCCATGACTCTCCCGGGAAGTTTGCAGATGTGACAACACCTGGATTAGAAATGAGAATAAAATGCAGAACATTAGCATTCTTACTCTTCACCATGTATTTTATCATGCTTTTCGGTGAGAAGTCAATCTTATATTAGTTGTTTCAAATTCATTTCTCCCATCTTCTTAGACAAGGCAATTTGGCCTAAGAAAGCAAAAAGATGATCTAATATTGCCTCCCTTCTGGTCCTGTTGGGGATGCTGTATCTGTTTTGGTTTTCTCTCTCACTAATGGAAGAAATAAATAAAAGTTAAAAAAACACATCTTTTAGAATCAACAATAATGAGGGACCAGCAAGTGGCAGGGTAGTTAAGGTAATAGACATTCCCATCATGATCAATCATGGTTTGAATCCCAGACCTGGTGGCTTGCATTCTCACTTTTTCTCTCTCTCTCTGTCTCTCTCTGGTCAAATTAAAATAAATGAATAAATAAATAAAATATAAAATAAATCTTAAAAAAAAGAATCAACAAGAATGAGATATATGAAATATTATTCCTCATCATTTAAATTGATCCATAGTTTATCCCTTCTTACTACTTTTGATAATTTCTCTCCTTAGGCTATTCAAACAGATTCTCTCACCTATTGCTTCCGAGAGACAAATACAATAAAGCTAAAAAAGACTTCTTACTGCCAACCCATGGCTGTTATATGCTAACTGCACAGAACTACTCTCTCAGTTCTTCCTGGTATAAATAACACTGACTCTGTACATTTCATTTTTGGTTCTTTCTTAAAAAACACACTGCAGGGACCAGCAGTTAGCGTAATGGCTATGTCGCTGGACTCCCACATAATTGACCGTGGTTCGAGTCCTGGACCCGGTGGCTTAAACTCACACCTGGCACGTGTGCGTGCGTGCCCAAGATCCCGAGAGGAGAATGGAGGAGAAGGGATTGCGGCGTGGCCATCCCCTCTGGGGGGTGATTTCTCGCTTTCTGTCTCTATGTCTCTCTCTGTCTGTCTGGCAAACACATGCGCCCTATAGCGAAAACCTCTCCAAAAAAAAAAGAAAAGAAAGAAAAAACACACTGCATATATATGTACACAGCAAGGTCTAAGCTCTATTTCACATCCTGTGGTTGAAGTTAAGCAATGCAGTCATCCTTAGGCCATCCTAAGGCTATATTCTAAATCCTCTTCTATTATAGAATATTACATTCCAAGCAAAATCTCACTTTACTTTCCTAATGATGTCCCATCAACCTTTTGTTTGTCTTCGAGGAGTTTGTCATCATATTTTTGTAAACTTGTTTCCTGTTGTGAAGTATGCTTTGTAACTGTAGGGTTTTTTCTCTCTCTATAGTTCAAGACATAGAGTAGTGATATAGATCATGTCTTTTACATCTTTCCTTCAAGTCTGTCAGAACTGAGTGGAGGATTCTGAGAGGGACAGGGGCCTACGCGCCGTGATGTAACAGTATACTGCGGCATGGGCAAGCAAAGGAAAAGCTTACTCACAAGGACTGGGTGATGGCCACTGCCCTTGGGCAGCTCTCACTTCTCAGCAGTTCACATTTGAAAAGCACAGAAAGCTTTTCAGAGAGGTTTCAAGGGCATTCTTTCCTGGACTTTCTCTGTAGCTTGTTCTATTAAGGAAAGCAATTTTGTCTTTTTCCCTTCTATCATGACCTTACTCTAAGATATGAATAAAATGCACTATTTTTGAAGTAATCTCAGCTTTACCATGATTATTTTTCAAGGACAGTAATTTAAGACATTTTCATTTTATGTACCCTCTCACTAAAACAACACATGCTATTAATGTAGTCAACCAACGACAAACCATTCTGAATAATCTTGGTTCAAAGGATTTAAAAATCCTTTTAATTTTGAGTCTAAAACAGGCTGCATTATATTTTTAGTTCTGCATAAAAATGGCCAGTTATAGGCACTCATGGCAAAGCATCATTGTGACAATCAGCTTAAAGTATCTTATGATTAAGAAGATCTTTATGTTCACTTTCTGCAATTGAGTAGAAATAGCATATTATAAAACTTACATAGAATGTTTCTAGTCTCTAATGTAGACACTAATAACTTACTATCTGGCAGATTTGGTCTAGAAAAAGTAATAGATTAATCACTAGAGCTTACTATAACTACACGAATGCCTCATTCTCCTTTATCTACACTTCTAAGTAGGAGTTTATCCTCTGAGCCCATCACAGAAATTTCCTCTTTCAGATAGCTTCTAATCCCCTTTTTACCTGTATCAGGAAGGTTTCAGGAGACATGAATAATTTATGTCTTTAGAAACATAGCGTAAATATTTAATGTGGCATTCATTAAATAATGCAGCCCAACAAAATTATGTAAATTTTTAGTTTGCATAGAAAATCCAGAAGTGCAGCGACTTTATAGATGCGGTGCAAGCAGTGCATGTACCCTGAGAACAGAGGAAGTCTGGGACTCTCTAGTAGGCTCATTAGAAACAGCTTCACTACAGTGTGGAGAGTCATCATGAATTTATGGCTACATAGATTTTATAGTTTATAGCTTTCTTCTGCTCTTTTCTAGGGAGAAAGAATCATCACTGAATTCATAACTTTGAGTTTTGAATGGGAGATATGAAACATACGTATGTATATATGTATGTGTGTGTATGTACATATGTATCTTGATGATGTAAGTCTTACACGGAAGGAATCAAGAAATTTGTAAATGTAGGTACCTCCCAATTCTCTTGCCTTCAATTCCTAAATTTTCCTTTCTGGTTCAGTTTTTTACTTTTTCTTTTTTTTAATTGCCAGAAGGCACATGTGCTCACCAGAGAAGGGTGGGGCAAGAAAGAGAAAGCATCCCACAGTAAGGTCACACTATAATTCCTTTCCTCCCTTTCTCTATCCTGTTAGGAGTTTGGGCATGCATGCATATGTGCCCAGTGTGTTTTTCAAGTCACCAGGGCCAGGAGTCAAACGATGGTTGGCCATGTGGGATCTGGCTCTCTGCACACTGCTTACCTTCTGTGCTATGGGGCCAGTCCTTGTTTTTTTTCCTTTTTAAAATTGTGTCTGTATATATTTACTGACACCTAAGGTTATTTAAAAATGGCATGACAGCTCTTAGTCTACTACCTTTCTGTCCTTTTTCCATCCTCTTGATTATAGATTAAATATAACTTTAATAGTCACAGTTAATGTCAGCAAAACAAAGCAAAAATCTTTCCTTTTCTTATCATCTGAAAAATCAAACTTCCCGCCAATGGTATTTTTTTTTGTGCCTATGTTAACATATTAGTTCTTTATAAGCAGAAAACATATTCTTTGAGTTTTTTTCGAAACATTATTCTTCCAGCATCTCGTACAGTAGGAGTTTGCAACAGCGACAATTTTGTCCTTCTGGGCTCATTCTGTATAGTCTGGAGACATTTCTGACGGTCACGACTGGGGAGAAAGTATCATTGCTATTAGTGAGTAGACATCAAGGGTGCTGCTAAATATCCTACAGTGACAAGGACGGCCCCTACAACAAAGATTTACCTGCGCTAACAGGCCAATAATGCTGAAGTTGAGAAACCCGGCTCTACATATATGTTTTCTAATGAAAATGATGGGAGGGCTACTAGGGAGATGCATCTGAAAACCTCGATGCTATTTGTTAGAGTCAAACAATACAGTACAAAGCCACATCCCTGAAACTGCTCCAATATTTATATGCTTCATTGCGCAAACACATACATGCAGCTGAAAGGGACCTCAGAGCGTTCCTACGGCAACTTCCTTAGAACCTGAGGTCCAGGGATAAAGAACTTGCCTATGGTTATGCATCTACATGTGGCTGATCAGCAGAAGAATCTAGATCCTTTGATAGCACAGTCTATGACTCTGTCCACTACATTATTGTAAATTCTGCAAGGCTGTGACAAAAAATTAATATGCAAAGCTGTCACTGAGGTATCCGAGAGATAATATAAAAATTCATACTTGTTATGTTGGAGCTTTTTTTTTTTTATAGCTTTAATGAGATTTCACAAACCATAAAATTTACCCATTTAAAGTACACAGTTCAGTGGCTTTTAATATACTCTGAGTTTTGTAACCCTCACCACAATTTAATTTTTTAAAAAAATTGCCAGAAGGTACATGTATTTGGTGGGGAGAGATGGGGGGGGGTGGAGGGGAAGGAGGAGAGAGGAAAAAACAAGAAAGCATCCCCCTCCCCCATGGAGCATGGCTCTGCTACAATCCTGTCTCCTCCATTTCTCCTTCCTTTTGAGGTTTTAGGCACACATACACAGGTCCAGGACTCAAGCCACACAGTTGGCCATGTGGGATCCAGCACACGTAACCATCAGGCCACAGGATGGCCACCACAATTTAATTCTAAGACATTTTCAACATTCCAAAAAAGAAACCTCAGGCTGATTAATAGTCACTCCCAATTTTCACTTCCCTTAGCCCCTGAGCTCCTCTACTCTAGCTTCTGGGAAACAACCAATTTATTCTCTGTCTCAGTGGATTTACCTATTCTGGACATTTTTATATGAGTGGAATCTGACAATATATGCCTTTTATGTCAAGCTTTTTTCACTTAGCACAATGTTTTCAAAGTTTATTCATGTTGTAGAACATATTAGTATCTAATTCTTTTTTATTGCCATATAGCATTCTACTGAATGAATATACCACATTTTATTTATCTGTTCATTAGTTGCTATACATTTGGGTTGTGACTACATTTAGGCTATTAGAAATACTCTTGCTATGAACATCCATGCACAAGTTTTCATGTGAACACATGTTTTCATTTCTCATGGTTTTAAACCTCGGGTTGACATTGCTAGGTCATTATGCAAGAAACATTTGAATACCTGATAATTTAAGTAGGTTTTGGAATAGCATTATTTGAAATTACAAGAAATTTTCTTAAATGAGGACTTAGAATAAGGAAGTAAACAATAAATTTATGAAACAACTTATAAGTTCTCTCATGTATGCCTTAAAATGACTCTGGCAGTCTGAATTTCTTTTCTTTTTTTTTGGTTTTCTGTTT